TGTCTACTTAGTATTGAATTTCCTTCAGTATAAATTTTTTTTCAAGGAATGACGACGAAAATACGCGGTATACGTTTTACTATTTGTACTTTATTTGTACGTATGTGGCTCTTTACTTTGCGACAAAGGAAATCCTTATGGTATAAGAAGCGCCTGTGCAACCGTATTATTGCGTGAAGTAAGAAAATAGCAAAAGAAGATTCAATTTATTCCCGTCTGTCCGCCTGAACGCGATGAACAAATTATATTGTGACTTGTAAACGAGGTCGAGAAAGTCGTGCGGGCCTCGGGAAGTTCAGTCTTGGACGTGGACTGCCTTCCGTATTCTCTGACGAGTAAAAACATGTAACTAACACTTGCAAATAAACTCCCTTTTTATTTAATTTTAATTCAGCGTCCTTTGAATTTGTTAATCGCAGAAGCGACGATCAAACATAAAAGCGACGATACATTCCGTTTTACGCTGATATATCATTTTCACGGTGTTTTCATAAAAATATTCGAATTGGCTCAAGAAACGCACCAAGAGAAAGTCAAAATGTCTATTTTAACGTTGTGAAAGTCAAACGATTTATTTATTACAAAAATTTAAAGACTGTTTATTAATATTTATTTACATTTTTATATTTCTTACATTATATATATATCGAGAATGCTCGTAATTTCTTTGCATAAACTCTCATTTCAGCCCTTCAAATACTCATTAGCCGTTCATTTTATTTTAGTTGTTGAATTTTATTCATAGGATCTTCGTCACTTTTTGAATTAAATTTCAATTTCTTCGTATTTATATAACATTTTGATATTTATATATTATTTTTATTATTTACTGAATGTTAAACAAGGATGATACATCGTACGCATTATCCATAAAACGGAACACACCTTTTCGAAGCTGCACATTCATGAATGTGATTTCAGTTTAAAAATATACAATTTATTATTTGCTGCTATTTATCTATTGCTATATTAGTAAAAATATTCGAAGGTGGCTAAACAAATATAAAATATAAATAGTAAAAAGCATATAGCCACAACAATAGATGTAAAATTGAGTCATATATGTATTTAAAAATTCACAAATAAATGAATAAGTAGATGATTCGGTCAAGATTTGACCATCATCAGTACATAAAAGATGACAATTGATAAAATATTACAAACAAGAAACAATTCAAACACAGTAGTCGGAAGATGCTAAAGTAAAATAAAATTATTGAAAAGAATACATAAAAATACAAGCGCAAAGTTCGCAAAATTAAAACAAGGTGAAATAGTGTTTTCTCTTCGCTTGTTGTAAAGGTTGAAAATAAATCAAGCAAGATGATTTTAATCTTATGATACAATGTTCTGTTACAATTCCCGAAGAGCGAAGTGCAAAATTCGTGTAAAAATACGAAATTTCCCAGTTCTATTTTAAAGAAACAAAAAAGAATTTATTTTAAATTTTTTATTATACCAATACCAAGCACTTCCAAATTCATAACAATTCGCGGAAAATAATTTAATATTGTGAACAAGACTTACCATGTATCTAATGGCGTTAATTTGTTACTTGTTCTGGTATCTTAGTTGTGAGTTTCGTGCCATTAGATACGTGGTAAGTCTTGTTCATCACAATATTAAATTATTTTCCGCGAACTATTATGAATTTGGAAGTGCTTGGTATTGGTATAATAAAAAATTTAAAATAAATTTTTTTTCAAATTTTAAATACGAAGCGCACTTACAGCCCCGAGTGTTAAGATGTTGAACTAACATTCATTTAAATTGAATTAATTTTTCAGAAATAAATTGAGAGCCGATGAAATTATCGGATTCACACAATCATTCTGATAATTCCCCCAAATTTTCCCTAAATTAAATTTTTTTTGTTTCTTTAATAGAACTGGGAAATTCCGTATTTTTACACGAATTTTGCACTTCGCTCTTTGAGATAACGGGAATTGTAACAGAGCATTGTATCATAAGATTCAAATATCTCTCATCTTGTTTGATTTATTTTCAACCTTTACAACAAGCGAAGAGAAAACACTATTTCACCTTGTTTTAATTTTGCGAACTTTGCGCTTGTATTTTTATGTATTCTTTTCAATAATTTTATTTTACTGTAGCATCTTCCGACTACTGTGAATTGTTTCTTGTTTGTAATATTTTATCAATTGTCATCTTTTATGTACTGATGATGGTCAAATCTTGACCGAACCGTCTACTTATTCATTTATTTGTGAATTTTTAAATATATGACTCAATTTTACATCTATTGTTGTGGCTGTATGTTCTTTACTATTTATATATTGCTATGTTATTCGTTTACACCTTAATTGATATAATTTAATTACTTCATTTATAGGTAGTGACGTTTAGATTTATAAATTTGTTTCTATTGACACTTTTCCATTTGCATATTATTTATGTCTACATAATTATTCTCTCTTGTGCCAGAAGTTTATAGAATTAATTTAATTACTGCGTAATATATATGTTATAATTAGATTTCTTCGCGTTAAGAATCGAGAAGGGAAAATGTCACGCTAAAGAATAGCACGAGAATTGTGTTCATAATACATAGACTACAAAGAAAACTGGTAGACTACTATGTAGTTATATAGACTATTTCGTCTCGTGCATGTTGCGACCTCATTATATTTTCAAAGAATAAATAATCGAGGAGATGATTCTTTTGATCGTGATTTTTGAAACTAACGGATGAATGAAACCTGGAGAGGAATCTTTTGATCTCAATTAAAAAAAGATTCTACGTTCATCATTTGTTGTTGTACAATATAATAACAGCGATATCCGATCATGAAATGATATCTTTTTCTACTGACGCACGTGAATCTTCCTTTCGATTTTTAAATCTACAATACTTTCTATCCACATTCCCTTATTTTTTATTTAGTTTATATCTATGTAATTGTTTCTTCTCTTTCTTGTAGAAGATTTATAATTGTATAATCGATTTAATTTATGTCTAAATAATTTTACAGATTTTATTACGGAAAAAACGGTTTGCTGAAATATTAATTAAAAATTTAGTTAGATACAGATTTGAAAATAATTTTATCTTCAAAATAATTCAATAATTATGTACAAAATAATTATATGAGATACACTGAAAAGGAATTTGGAATAGCTACTAAATGTTAAATAGAATAATATTAAACAACGATTGACAGGATCTAA